AGAACTGACTAGAATCTTCCACAGAATGCAGCCTAAGGTTTTCCAGTTCTATTTTTTCAGCCTGCATCCCTGAACCTTTCCAAACTCTTTCCACAAGCCATTCCCAAAAGCTCCTGAACCACATAGTCAGATATAGTCACAGCAACGACCCCACTTTTGGTACCAAATTCTGTCTTAATTACTTTTCTCTTTTTGCTGAGACAAAATACCTGACACCCAAAGTTAAAGGAGGAAAAGTTTATTTTAGCTCACAGTTTGTAGAGGTTTCAGTCCATAGTCACTGTCTCATATATGTCCTTAACTCCAGGAAGTAGACTTACTATTCCCTCCAATGTAGTGCCTGATGCTTACGTGTACAAATTCTTTCCTTCTATTGATGGCTCAGAACTGATAACTGGACAATTGCAACCATTGCTACTATTATACATTGCTTATCAAACACTCCTAAGTTAGCTTCAGCAAACAGGGCTAGGGAATCACATAGCCTTCCTGTGTAGACTACAGAGTCCAGAACAACTTCAAATTTTTCATTGCACCTTGAGTTGGTGATGTGACAAAAACATGGGTTCTTGAATCAGATTTCTAGATTGGAATTCAGTCTCTTTCTCTTGGGCAAGTGACTTTGACCACTGTGTGCTACAGTTTCCAGATCAGTAGAATGAGTATAATAACTAGTTCCTTCATAAAATGATTGTGAGAATTAAATAAATTATACCCCTAAAGGTTTTAGGACAGTATTTGGTATGTTGACAAGCAATAGGTAATCATAGATCACTTTTATTATAAACTTTTTATTATTGTCAAGGGATCATCAAGAATCATAAAAGATAAAATAGTATGGAGGGCTTATTGGGGCATGAAAATGACCTACACAACACCTTAAATAGGAATGAATCTCAATTTAATATAGCAATCAGTCAACTATGTGCCAGTTCTACTATTGCTTGGAATAATTCCTTGGAAGAAACTCACTATAATATTACTTAATTTGTATTACTTAACTTTTATGAAAAATATATATACTAAACTTATTCAGATAAACTTTGAGATCGGTTGTGGTTCACTCTCTATGTAGAGTATCATCAAAACAAACCCCATACATTATCAAAAATTTGAAAAACAATACAATCTGTGGTCATCTAATTTGGAGCTATCATTTTTAATCACTTTAAGGTAGCATGTAAAGAGTAAATAAGCAAGTTTGAGATTTCTAATCTCTCTTTGTTTGGTTATTACCTCACAGTGTTTATGAAAATTCTAGTCATTCCTACCCCTTTTTATAGAACCCTAAACAAAATTATCAGCTGTTAAACATTTATTGACTTGGATATGATGTTGTCTAAAATTCAAACAAAATTTATGACATCAGCATTTTAATTATGCATATTTTGACAACCAAGTACCTTAAAGAGAAAATAGTTTCAATAGATTTCTCACAATGTATGAAATGTTTTGAATAGGAAGGCACTTTGTAACAACCTACATGCTATCTAAGTGAAAATTACAAGTAAAATTGGCCTTACACTCTATTGTTTCTTCCATATAACCCTTGCTACAGCAGCTGGATTTCAAGTCATTGTCAGAATATACCATGCCTTTTCAGATGGTTTTCCTCTTCACTCCCAAGCCCTTCCACTCTTTATCCTGGCTCTAAGAGAAAGAACCAATGACATTTTTTTTATCTATTCCCCCAAAAGTAGTCCTTCTGCTTTTTAGTTCATTCAGTTCAGCAATGTAACATTCAGTGAGTTCTTACTATGTTCTCAAATAAAGAAGAAATCATTATTTGTTTTTCTCATGTCTTCGCTTTAGCCACAGAATAGAATCTCCTGCTGATCTACCCTCTTGCAGATGTCTCCTTACAGAAAACACCTTGATTTAACTGCCTGGTAAGACAGGCAGAGACCTTCGCTCTTCTAAACCATATTAACATCAGGAAGAAGCCTTTGTGTTAAAGGCAGGGAGGTTGTCAACCTCATATCCCTGAGTCTTCATTTAGCTACAAACAAGAAAGCTTGAGGTAGACTGATATCCTCCACTGAGCTGGTTGGCATTTGTTTGTAGACCTAACTGTGCATATATGTGGATCTAAAGTTGAGCAAGATTTAGGTGGAGGAATTGGTAGGAAAATTGTTTTGTTTTGGGGAAGAATCCATGCAGGCCAAAAGGTTTTTGCTATTACTATTAATAATTTCTCCAAACTGGCTCCCTATCTCTTGTTTTAATAGTATAAAATTGTTATTATTATTTAGTTACTATGTTTGTGATACATAATTAATCCATTCATCACAAGGAGTTGATATATATATATATATATATGTATATATATTCTGAATCCTTTTTAATTCCCCATCTCCTCCCTATTTCTGAATTGGCTAAGAACCAGTAGAGACAGAGAAATATGATTAATTAGGATTCTTTCAAAACCCCAACTTGTATTTCAAGAACAAATATTCTATTAAAATGAGTAAGAAATAGGCTTTACATTCAAGGAACTTATAGTTCAAGGTGTTTCCACAAAATTTGGCATCTATGTCTGTAACATAATTTAACCACTGGCTTAAAATTTGTTCAGTATCTACTTCTTCATCTATACTGTAAACAATGTCAGTCCAGTATAGAATCTTTCCCGACCATGTAGCCTCAAAATGTAACAAACTAGTAGATTCTAGTGTTATGGTCACCAATTGTTTGCAGATGCAACAGTGCCATGGAATGTTGACCCTGACTAGTTTCAAAATAAGACTTGATTTTCAAAATCTACCTCTGTAACTTGTTTTTAAACCTGTAAGTTAATTTCTAGCATAGAACTTTCAGTTCTCATATTCTCACAGGTAACACAAACTTTTAGAAAATAGTTATGTTTTCTTTTTCACTTGCCATTTTTACTTTCTGGGTGTGTAGTGAGGCCCTTCCTGTACTTGTGTTAAAAAGAACTTTCCAAATGAGTCTGCTCTACAAATGTATCTTGGTTTCTTACCACACTTGGTGGGGGAAGATAGGTTCACTGCTCACACCTTCCCAGAGGTTCCTATGCTTCTGCTTTCAGAGCTATCTTTTGAGCAGAAAGGGAGTAGGTGATTTATTTCATGAACATAATAATTCATCCATTCAACATTATTTAATTCTAATATGTTCTGAGCACTGGGCTATGAAACTGAAAAAGGAATGTAACAGAATCTTCACCCATAAGAAGCACACTGTCTAATGTGGAAACAAACTTAAGAACAGGTAAGTTCTATGATTATCATGAAAATAAGATACACTGTAGTTTGGGAGAAAATACTGGAGAAGTATATACCTCATGAAAGAGTATAATCCCAGCTATGTAGAGAGCTCTATGAAATGTAACTAGAAGAAAATGAATAATGTGATTTTAAAAGGGCAAAATATCTGACCAGACATTTCACCAAAGAAGATAAAGAAATGAAAAACAAGACTATGAAAAGATGATTAACATCATCTGTCAATATAGAATTTCAAACTAACAGCATTAAACACCTACAAGAATGGTAAAATTTCAACACACAGACAACACTAAATGCTGGCTAGGATGTGAAGTAACAGAAACTTTCATTTATTGCTAGTTGGAATGTAAAATGGTACAACTACTGTGGAATATACTCTGACAATTTCTGACAAAACTAAACATGTTCTCACCATACTGTCTAGCAATTATCCTCCTTAGTATTTACTAAATGAGTTCAAAATTTATGTCCACACAAAAACCGGCACATGAATGTTTACAGTAACTTCAAAATCACCAAATAGAAGGAAAAAATGGAAACAAAGCTTTTGTAAATAAAGAGGGGAAGAGGGGTTGAAGAGAGGGGAGAGGAATGGAGGAAAAAAAGATTAAGATATATCATGTAAGGGTGCAAATCCCCTATGATGAATGTGATCTTTTTGCATATCTAAAATGTATCAATAAACTTAATTAATTTTTTAAAAATTATCAAAACATAGGAACAACCACAATGTCTTTCGGTAAGTGAATGAATAATAAACTAACACATTTGAACAATGAAATATTATTGAACATAAAGAGAAAGGCGCTATAAGCCATGGAAAGACATGCAGAAATTTAAATGGACATTACTACATGTAAAAAGCCAATCTAAAAAGCCTACATGGGCTATGACTCCAACTATTTCACATTCTGAAAAAGATACAATAAGCAGATTACTGGTTGCCAGGAATTTGGAGGAAGGGAAGGATGAATAAGGAGAGCACAGAAGTTTTTTAAAGCAGTAAAACTGTTCTGTATGTCACTACAATGGTGGATACAGGTCATTTTATATAGATAGATAGATAGATAGATAGATAGATAGATAGATAGATAGATATAGATAGATAGATAGATAGATAGATAGATAGATAGATAGATATAGATATATATAGATATATATATCTCAAAGCCCAAAAATGACACCACCAAGTACAAGTTCTAAGGCAAATTAACGGCTTTGGTTAATAGTGACATTCCAGTATCGTTTCACTTTTAACAAATGCACTGCTGTACAGGATACTGATGATAATGGAGGCTGTGAATGTGTTGGGGAGGGGAAATGGAAAATCTCTGTGTTTGTGCTTAGTGTTTTTGAACCTAAAACTGCGCTTTACAAAGCTTCTCCTTCTCTTTCTCCGACTTAACAAGTTCTTCGGGTTATTTTTGTGTGCATTGAAATCTGAGAATCACTTCTATTTTGTGTTCACATATCTTTGTGGTACAAAAGCAAATATCAAATTGATTTAAAGTAAGTTTTAATAACTTTCTTTTCTAACTGGAAATAATAAACAAGGCAAAAATTTATGAAAAATTATTCAATTATCTGCCATCCATAAATTAATAAAATAATCACGGAAGTAATGCTTAAATAGATTTATTTGGGGAAAAAGCAGCTATATCTTTATTAAGAAGAAATGAAAACATAAATGATTTGTGATTTTCACAGGTTCTGTACAAACATAATAAGTCATTTATAGAGGTGAAATCATTATCAATATTATCTTTTACTATAAGACATGTTAAACAATTACAAACATATTAGACAGAAATAGTTGTCTTTTAAATTAGAGACAATTATGAAAGAACTACTTACTTTGGTGTATTTATTTGATACAAAGATAGCTACATGCTTCCTCCCATACTTCCTGTTTCTATTTTTAAAAATAGAGCAAGCAGCTGTTCTAGTGCCTCTTTTAAATAACTTGCTCACAGATGAAACTTGGCTAAAAGAGCCTACCTAGAATCCATAGCTTTAAAATTCTAAGTGTAATGATGCTGACTTGATAACAATAACTCAAAAATAATCTTTGCAGCCCCAAATCCAAGGAACTAAAACTTTATGTGAGCATTATGTAAGAAAAGCTTCACATCAAAAACTTAATTTTGGCATGTGTGTATGCGTGTTCTACTCACACTCTTATTCTCATCATTTCTCATTTTATTTTCTTTAATAACTCATTTATTCTGATATTTAACATTTCCTAAGCAAACTGAAAGTAGAATGCCAATTTGCTCAGTTTCTCATGTACCATTTATGTACATCATCTACCCCTTCAATACACTAACACACACATACACACTTGCATACACACAGACCACATTTATCTGTTCAGCAGCTCCTGTATTTGTTCAAGTGGGTCCTAACTTTTGTCATCTATTTCGTATAAAGACAACTGTATTATTTAGCAGCAGCACCTGAGAACATTAGCCTCAAGCTCTTAAATAAAGTCATAGGCTATATTTGAAATAGACTCAAGTACTCCAGAAATTCAGAAAATCTGAAACTATTTCTTAAGTGGCTGAAACCTCAGTATTTTAAAATGAATGATTATCAAACTAAAACTTCACTACACTTGATTTGCTCTGATTTCTTATAAAAAAGATACAGCTGTCAGTTAAAGTATGTCGACCTCTACTGACCAACTCTTTTCCATTTCATTAATCATCCTTTTAATTTGTTATCAGGTCAAACATGAGGCAGTGTAAAAGTTGAATCTGTACTTGGCCAATAATACCTATTTTCCTTGGTTTTTATGTAGATTCGGATGTCATTAAGGATACTCATCCAGCAGCATTCTGTCACATTCACATATATTAGTCTATGTCAGCCAAACACTGAGTCACCCCTTTGCTCATAAATCCACTTTACATTGATGACTTCATTATTGACTATATTTGCTTTGCAATCCAACAGGCCAGATATAAGAATTTGTTTGTCAGGTGTGAGAAACTTCTACCCTATATCCAATCGATGTATTCTATATCTGTATTTTGATATGTATATCTGTACCAGTTATCCTTCCCATCCTTTTCTTATACAAGTCTATAATTATTTTTCTTTATATTTAAGAAACACTAGCCTGAGACTGACATATGAAGTTTTCTTATTATAGAAGATTGACTGTGAATACAATCATTACTGTATCTATGATTAGTCAAACTAAGACATTCTTTATTTTTCAAGAGTGTGTAGTGAACCAATCAAGATAACAAAAACCTCTTTCCTACAGGTCCTTCTGGTAGCTCCAAAGGAAATATTGAGTTGATATAGCAGGTAAAATGTAGCTAACATTAAATGTCCTAGAGAAAAAAACTTTGTTGTCCAATACTATAATATAGAAGTCTCCTAAAGAAGTTTTCTCTCCTAAAGAAAAATTTTAATCATATGCTCTTTGGATCTTTAGGAACTAAGCACCAACAAGAATCACTTTAAAGTGAAAATTCCCCAAGTTGAGGCAAATTATTGGATGTCCTGTTCGGGTCAGACAATGGTGTTGACACTTATCCTTCAGTGGTCCCCACCTGGTATGGGGACCAGACTTAACTCCTCACACATATAGATGCATATTCTGTCGGTGCTTCATTCACATTTCTCACCTGTCTTGGATTAAATTTGATAATGGAATGGTTCAAGGAAGCATAAACAATGACTTGTTTGTTTTCCTCCAAGTGTGGATTAGAATAAACTTCAGACTCTTCCTGTGTTCTGAACCAGGGGTCATTGTCATAAATTTCAGCTTCTGATTGTGGTGTTTGGGAATTTAGCCTGGTGCTCACTTCAGTTTGCTCACTCCTAAGGGGCTGGATAACATCAACCTATACAAGAAAAAAGATGTGATAATACATTTTCATTAGCAAACTGTGAAAGGTTAGATGGTGTCATACAGTGAAAGAAATCATCTACCATTCCTCACCTATGCTGCCAATATCTACCATTTTTAGCAGGCTCTTGATTATTAATGGATGAATATTTTGGGGACCAGTGTATTCTTCCCAAATAGCTATTTTGTGCTTTATTAGGAATCACTTTTGAGGTCACAAAACATTTTTTCAGTGCTGAGGAATGAACCCAGGGTCTTCACACTGAGCTATATTCCCTGCTCCTTCTTTTTTGACAAAATCTCCTCAAGACATTAACTTGATCAGGCTATGCTCAGTCTTGAAGTTCTCTTACCTCACCCTCCCAGACTGCTGGGATTACAGGCATGCGCAACCATGCCTGGCTGAGATCACAGAACATTTTTCATTTGCTCTTCAAGATAAAAAACACAACCCAAATTAAAGGGAAAAGAATAATATTTTATGAAAATGAAAATTTCAGTCAGCTTAGAACTCAATGGGAATATGAAATGTACTGTAAAATAAAGAGACTAAGTATAAAACAGAATGGATTATGTCCTATTATTTTATCCAAGATAAATTATGACTAGAGTCCTAGAATTGGAAATTGATATCAGTTTTAGAGATACACAGCTTAAAGTTCTAAAATATTATTCCAATTTTTATTGTTATCCCAAGAATATTTGTGCCCTTTCAGGTAGTGTCAAATATCTTAGTGAACTTGTGGAAACTAAAAATAAAATGAATCCTGATATTTTCTATCAGTTCTTAGGCATTCCTAGCTATACAAAAGGTCTACTTTGTAAAAATGAAGATATCCTCTTAATGCTAGAGGTCATTATTTCAGTTTTTAAATCTCATTTTTCTAGTCACTTTATGTTCTTAAAATTTGGCCTGACTCCTTTAAGTCATGAGGTCTGTAATCTTTGATGGTCAACGCATCAGTGAGGTTATTTATGGGTTCATTCTTTCATTAACTCTCTTCCAAAAGACTTTAAGGTTCTTTTGTGAGAATAAAAAAAAATAGCTAAAGCCACATAACAGGCAGGAGCTGAGCCTCCAGACTTCTCTGTTTTGACTCTAGATTGCTGCCCACATCCCAAGAACCTTTGCTGCATTAAAAAAATGAACATCTATCTATCTATCGTACTTAGTGCCTGGATCATAGCAAATACATAAACTATTGAAAAATACAGAAGTATGGTGTAGCACAAATTCTATGTGTCTTAACAGGTACATCAAACCTACCAGGTTAATTTCCCTTCCTGCGATATCAGATGGCTTCTTTCTTTTTCCTGGAAGACAAAAAAAAAAAAGTAATCAAAATAAGTAAACAAAGCAAAGGCAAGCCACCTTCCCACCTATACTCACCTACCTCACTGCCCACTGGCGCAACAGTGTCCTTAATTTTGGTTTGTTTATTGGTCCTGGCTGATATTCCACCTCATTTGGTAAGAATTCATGTTGCCCACTTCCCTCTCAGCACTTCTCACAGAACAGAGTTCTGTAGCAGCTCCAAGAGGAAGGGGCAGAATCTAGTGCTTCACTTTGAAAAAGTTAGAAGTCTTTGCCCTGGGAACATTTCATATACTCCATGGCATAAATGGTCCCATCTTGTCACCTATACAGCCAGAACTTCTTACTACCCAGGTTCACTTTGGATTCGGTAAATCAAAAAATTTATCACTGCTTCTTTTTTTCTGAAATTATGAGAGACATTCTAGCAGCTTCAAGCAAGATAATGAAATCTAGACAGACTGTACAAAGAGCCATAGAGTTCCAGGGCTGAGTTGAGATTAGAGAAGATTCTTCAGAATCTTGAGGATCTGGGCTCTGGATTTCTTTCCTTCCAAACACCAGAAGCATTTCTGACCTGGCAAAGCTTTCTCCTATTGAAACTGAAAAATACTTGCTCTGCCTGGCTCACTTTCTGTAGCTACACTCTTTCTGGTTTTGTGGGGAAAAAGGATGAGAAGATAGGGGAGAAGAGGAAAAAGGAGAGAGAAAACTGAAGTAGACTTGATCAGAGATAGATCAGAAATCTCTATGCCTTTCTTTCTGTGTGAAGGAATGTTTACAAAAGTAGAAACGAATTGTTTTCAAAATATCGCACCTCTCCCATCATAGCCAAACTCATATTTTTCCAATGAAATATTGCTTCTTCTCTTTGAGATTTTTATGTTTGATGATTAGATTCCATGTGGGGAGTTGGTACATGTACATGACACATCTTCTCTTTACAGCCCCTTCCTCTCGCCCCCTGCCCTGCTCCTCCTCCTCCACCTCTTGTTCTCCTTTCCATTTGCAGAAGACCTGTTTCCTGCTATCTTTTATTCCAAACGAAATAGTGTTGAGTGAGGATTCAATTCAAACATGTGTTTATGATGGAAACAGAAAGCATACACACATATGATTCGCTCTGGGGACACTGGTTCTTTATTTAGACAAGAATGGATGTGCCTGGAATGATGTGGTATTTGTGAAAAAGAGGATGAAATGGACTTAGACGTGTTGATCTGAGAGATTATTTCAACCTCTCTTCCAAGTCTGCTCAAGTTTAGCAGAGCTTTCTCATACAAACCTACCCGTGATGCAAATAAAATGGGGAAATTTGATCTGTGTGTCCTCCTAATTACAGCTCTGATGGGCACAGTGCCATAGGGTCCCATGACTAGAGGGAGCCCAAATCAGTCCCTGTAGGTCTTTTAGTGAAAATATGAGTAGTCTCCCAGGAAATCATTTTCCATGGTGTATCATAGAAGATTGGGGGGGAAAAACCAGCAGGAGTCCATTTAAAATCCATTTCAGAAAAAAGAGTCCCAAATGTGTGATACAAAGGGACAGAGGGAAAACAGAACTCACCTTGATGCTTTTTCAGGCAGCAGAACAGGCCAAAACAGGCAATGACAAGGAGAGGAAATCCCCCCAAAGGAAGCAAACTGTAGGGGAGCCATAGCCCATCCACCATCTCTTCTTTGAAGGGTGGTCCTGGAGCACTGGTTGCATCTGGAATTCAGTCAATGCTAAAAGCAGTCAGGAAATCTGAACTATATTAGGATCAGCAACATCCTTCTGCATTGTCACAACCCAGATGAAGGAAATTTCAGGCTGATGCTTCTGTTTCCCCTTTGGAGGCCTCACTTTCCTCAAACACCTTTTTATCTTTTGCAAAAATCTTTCATTTTGTTAAGGTTAATCTGTAGAACAACCTCCATAACAGCTCTCAAAAAGCATTTCATCAAGCCATTCCACTTACAATATCTAACAATGCTCATATTCACCACTTGAGGAAATTAGAGAAGCAATTGCCTTTATCCTCTCCTGTGACTGAAGAAGAATGTCATTGTTCCAAGAATTGCCCAAAGTCAAACATCTGCAGGGTAGCAGTTGGGATTCAATCTACATGTTTACCACACTAAATTCACCCTTTCTTTGTCTCATAATTCATTGATATCTCTAAATACTACATAGTTCTGTTTCCCCAGATACTTTTTGCCTGGCATATAGTTACATTTCAATACTATTGGTCAGTGTTAATATGCATTAAGGCCCTGTTTGTTCACAGTTGCAACTTATTTTTTACCACGTAAAAAAATTTTAGTACTACAAAAGTAACTTATTTTTTGAATGAAAAAGACAGAATAGAAACTATCAGAATGCATCACATGTACTAGAGCAATGTCTCTCAAATGGAACAATTTTGCCCTCCAACATACCCACCCCAGGGAACATGTGGCAATGTCTGGAGACATTTCTGTTTATCACAAGGTGGGTAGGGAGAGAGGCTGGCATCTAGTGAGTACAGGTCAAGACATCGTACACTGTAGTCTCACTGCAACAAAGAATTATCCAGCACAAGAGGTCAATAGAGGAACCCTGTCATAAGTATGACTTTGTGGAACCTTAAAAATACATGTGTGTTATAGGTTACGATGTAAACTCTTTTTTATTTTGGGTGATTGTTACACAGAATAAAAAGTATGGAAATAAAGCTTTGTATTAAAATTCATATGATTTGTTTCCCTTGATTCTTGATTTTAGGGTAAAAATAGTCATAGGCAATTGAATCTGGATATATACTGGACATTTAGTTAGGTAATTCAGAGTAGTAACAAACACCATAGCGTTCATGCTGCAGCTGCTGTTTAGGTTGGGCAAGGAGCCAAATCACTGCCAGGAGTGGCAGACACAGCTGTCTGGGAGAGAGGTTTGGTTAGCAAACAACAGATAATCTAATACCAATTTGGGGCTAGGGCTTTAGCTCAGTGGCACCGCACCTGCCTCACAAGTGCAAGGTCCTGAGTTCGATCCCCGGTACCAAAAGAAAAACAAATTTGTATTATTTCTGCAACCATCAAACAACCCTGTTAATTTTATTTGATTAGTTTGATACTTACTTATTAGAGAGTGTTCTGAATTATTTTGAGTCTGTTCTGAAATAGAAAAACAATATTAAGAATTGAAATTGTTTGAGGAAACAGTGAAGATATCCACTCAGGTATTTCTAAAATCAGAGTACATCTTGGAGAGGACAGGGAATTCAGTAATCTAGCCCAGGTTCAGTTTACATAACTCATGGATCATCACCTTGAAATCTTGGAACTTAAACTCCTTGAGTCAGTTTCAGGCCCAAAGAAAGACTGTACAAATGCAACATAACTTTCATCTGTCTGTTTTGATTTTCTTTTGCTTCTACCTGCTCTGCCATCTGCAATAACAAGACACATATTCAGCAGGGGCTCCAAGGGAGTGCAGAAGGCCACAAGGAAAGGAAGTTTTGATGGCATTCTGGGAGCTCATTCTGAAACAGACTGTGCCTCTCACTCCACACTAATAAGGACCACCTCACCTTTGTTAAACTCCTGTTCAGAGATCAACCAAGGGCAGGTGGAGAACACAGTGCAGCCCAATCATCTTTTCCCTTGAATTTGCTTTGTTTTACAAAGTGTTTTCATTCATTCCAGAAGATGACTGCTTTCCCAAGGGCATCCAAGCCCCTACTTTCTCATACACCTACTCTTATACAATCCCATTCTTATAAACAGCAAAGAAGAGTCAGATACAAAAACAAGGAAATTCCTAATATGCCTTCAGAAAGATATTTCAAATAGAGAAAATAAAATATTTTTATTACATATTCAAATTTTATTTACAAAAATTGTGCTTCTTAAATATAATTCCAGAGCATACTTTTCACTCAACGCTTATTTCACTGAGTAGTCTTAGATTCAGAAAAGGGAATTTTTCTTTGACCTTGTCCTTGTTATGTTTGTTTTCACCATTTCACTAAAAGGAAACCCACACCCAGTTTAAATTAAGGCTAATTCCTAAATAATTTATTTGACTTTTGCAAAAGAAATGAAAACAACTCAAAGAAATGTGATACAATTACTTGCCAGGACATTATAATCTTTTATGAAATTTCAAAGACATTTCCACACATTACTATAGTGAAAGGAAATATATGTGTTAAACGAAAGACACAGATATTAAATGGCATAAAAATTGGTGGAAATCCCTTCCCCTGGGATGAAAGTGAATGTCTTCCTTGAGAACTTGGATAATGAGTTGGACTTGAAAGAAGGGATTGGATTTTTATAGTGGAGACAGATGAACAGATGCACTGCAAGTGGTGAAGATAGCATCAGAAGTCATGGTAAAGACATGACAATGACAAGTAGGGCTGTTAGGCTGGACTGACAGGTTCTATATGGAATCCAGAAGTAATCTAGAAAAGTAGGTGAAGATGAACTGTGGGAACTATGAATGCTGCTTAGCAAACATGATCCCCATCTTGTGAACAAAACATCTTGTGAAGATGCATTCTAGGATATGCAATAAAAGAGTAGCATTATCAAAAAAGTATATTATGCAAGTATATAAGAAAGATGGTTAGTTAACATGAACTAAATTGGGTAAATGCTACAGATAAGAGGTCTAGTCATACCATTAATTGGAATCATTTAGAAAGATAATAATAAAGGCCTAACGTGGTTATGGACGCTATCATGGGAACATGTCACAGAGTGGAAGGTTGTTGGCAGTCAGGGAAAGAAAGCCAAAGCTGAGTCCTGGGGAATTCCCAGTGTGGGCCAGAAGCATGAATTGATAAGGTAATTATTATGAAAGGAAGTTCTTGTAAGAAAGGTAGCAGCATAGAAAAGTGAGGAACTAAGAGTAGAAATCATCAAAAAGAAACAAGACCCTTCATAAGGTCTTTTATTTAGCTCTTAGACTTTTTCACTGTTTCATCCTTCATACTCCCTGTATCAGCATAAAATACATAATATCCCTTAGATACAGGATTGAACAAGAAATGCTTTTCTACCTGGCTTCTGTGACTTAGCATTACATTTTTTGGGTTCATCCATGTTGTAGCATGTATCAGTAATTCATTCCTCTTTATGACTGAATAATATTCTGTTCTGTGGCTATACGACATTTCTTTTATCCATTCAGCAGGTGATAAGCATTTTGGTTATTTCTACTTTGGGGCTATTATAAATATTGCTATTATAAACATATATAAATTTGGGGGGGGATTTATTTTAAAAAATTTTAATTAGTACACATTTGCAGTACATAATGTTTACATTCCTTCTAGGGAGTTAGTACATCTACTTAACACATCTTAATTATTTTTTTATTCCCTTTCCCTCCCCTCTCTCGTCCCTCTATCTGTTGATCCCCTTCCCAGTTGAGAAAGAGCTATCTTCCCACTTCCTATTATCTTAGTTTCACTTGGATATTTACCTAGCTATCCCATTTCTTGGTCCTGTGACAACTAGGTTAACCTTAAGAAGAATTTCCAGACTTTTTCCCAAAGCAACCACATCAATTTACATTTCCACAGGCAATATAAGAGTTTTAAAATTTCTCTGCATACATACTAACACGTTTTTTAATTTTCATTTTTTGCTTAATTTCTACTTATCCTACTGAGTATATGTAGTGGTATCTATCTCATTGTGGTTTTGATTTGGCTTTTTCTGATAACTAATGGCACTGAGCATTTTTTAATTTGCTATTGGATATCTTTATATTGTTAATGAAAGGGCTACTTAATCCTTGGTTTATTTTTTAAAGGATTGTCTATTTGTGTTGAGTTGTAGGAGTTTATTATATATTCTGGGCTATAGTCTGATTTGCAAATATCTTCTCATGGTCTGTGGGTTTTCTTTATACTCTCTTGATAGTGTCCTTTGATACAGAAAGGTTTTTAATTTTCATGAAGCCTAATTAAACTATTTTTGTTGTAATTTATAATCATATTTAGGAAATTATTACTAAATCTAAGATCAAAAAGATATACATTTTTATATACACGTTTAGAGTTCTCTATAGATACAGTTTTTAGTTTTTATAGATAAATCTCTGGTACACTTGTATTTATTTCTTGTTTGTTGTTGTTGTGAGGTAGTAGTTCAGATTCATTCTTCTGTGTGCATATATACAACTGTCCCAACAATACTTGTTTTATTTTGTTTTTTTTATTTGTTTGTTTTTCAGTGCTGGGGATCAAACATTGAGCCTTGTACATAGTAGATAAGAGCTCTGCTACCTAGCTACATCCTAGGCTGCCATTTATTAATGAGATTACTCTTTCCTCATTGAGTTGTATTGACAAGATTGTCACAAATCAATTGACCATAATACATAGGTTTATTCTGGACTTTAAATTTTATTACTTTGATGTCCATGCCTCCCCATATGTCACTACCACACTGCTTTGATTACTATGGTTTTATAGTACATTTTGCAAAAGGGAATTATTACTCTTCCAACTTTTTTCTTCTTTTTCAAGACTGTCATAGCTATTTTGGGTCTGTAACATGAGTCTTAGGATCAGTTTTTGCATTTCAGAAAATAAAGGCTGTTGGAATTTGATGGGTTTGCATTGAATCTGTAGATCATCTTGGGGACTATTGTCATCTTTACAATATTAAATCTTCTGATTCATGACAAAAGATATCTTTCCATTTATTTATATCTTTAATTTCTTTCAACCATGCTTTGTGCAATTTACAAGTCTTGCAACGCTTTGGTTAAATTTATTTCCACATATTTTTTTAAATAGTATTATAAATGGGACTGTTTTCTTAATTTCCTTTTCAGATTGTTCATTGCTAGTGTATAACAATACCAGTAATTTTTGTGTTGATCTTGTGTCTTACAACTTTGCAGAATTCATGTATTAACATGTAGGGGTTTTTTTCAAACTTTTAAGCATCATGGTATCTGTGTGAGTAGAGACAGTTTTACTTCTTCCACTTCCATTTAGATGCTTTTTATTTCTCATTCTTACTTAACTGCTCTGGCTAGAACTTCCAGTTTGATATTGAATGGCAGTGGCAAAAGCAGGCAACTTTGTCCTATTCCTTTTCTTAGGAGAAAAGCATTCAGTCTTTCACCACTGAGTAAGATTGTGGCTATGCCATTTTCATAACCAAACTTTTTTTATTACTGTTCTTTATTCTTCCCTCTTTATTTTGTTTCCATGCTTTGTTCATTTTGGTTTTCCCCAGTTTAACCTCTATGTGTCCTTCCTCAGCTGCTACAGCCAATTAAAGGTCTTTGGGGAGGTCCTGGGAACCCACTGAACCCCTGCCTATTCCCAAGAACTCATTTGGTAATAAGACTCTTTCCAGTTCTAAGCAAACTATGAACTATTCACAAGTATGTAATTATCAGAGCACCACAAACATAACCTCTATAAATTATAATCCACCATAGAAAAGAACAGAAAAATAGGAAAAAACAAATAAAATACAAAAACTAAATAATGAAATGCTATCTATAATTATTGGTATCCATTTTGTAATTTTTTCACAATTTCAGTGATATACTTCTGGACTTATCAAATGGAGTTAATAATCCTTAGAGACAAAGACAATAATTTTTATTATATTTTTATCTTCTTTACCTCATCAGCCCAAGCACACATACGAATGCATATGTATACATACACGTGCATTCTTGCACCTCACAATTTATGAGGGTGTGGCAGACCTGATGTGATATGGATGTTCAGTCTCTAATTCGAGTATCTGGACCTTCCATTTCCTGAAAATATGATGAGTAAAACATGAGATGGTCTGGGGTTCAAGAACTCACCTGTCACATGGATGACTGTTGAGTGGGAATGAATGAGATGAGAAGGGGTATTCACAGAACAGCGGTACGAGCCATTGTCACTTGGAAGCACTGGTTCAAAATGTAGCAGAAAAGTGGACTTATTGAGCCCTTCTTCCCAACTCGTGTGTAGCCGTAGTCTATCCTTAAGAGGTGAACAGCCTGTTCCATTTATCTTGCACCAAGTCACATTAGGTCTGTGAGCACAATATTTCACAGGGCATTCCATTTTAAAGGAAATTTTTGCTGAAACGGTGAGTTCTGAGTGTCTCCTAATATTAAGTTGTATGTCACATGATTCCTCCCCTAAGTGATGAAAAGAAATTAAAATAAAATCTTTCTTCTGAAAGGACTATACATATGCCACTCCATCGTAGTTTGACAAATATTTCTCAAGTATGATTTTATGATTTTCCTAGATAACATTTTCTAGTAATTACCAATGCCTGGTACATAACAGGCACATAAAATATTTTGATTTACTATTTTGAATATTTGCTTTTAAAAGTCAAATCAATTAAAATTCATAATAAAATAATATAATTCTAAGAACTTTGCTTTACAGAGACTGAGGTAGTAAAGAATTTGCCTACAGTAATATGCTAAGATTTAAAATCATGCTCTTCTCATTACTCTGTATTTAATTAGCCATTAGTCCATATTACTGCTTTTATTTTTGACCTATTAGGAATTGAACCCAGGGCTTTCATGCTGAGGTACAACTCCAGACCTTTTAATTAATTTATTTATTTTAATTTTGAGACAGGGTCTCTGTAAGTTGCCCAGGCAACTCATGATCCTCCTGTCTCAGCCTTCCAGAGTGCTGGGATTATAGGCATGCACCACTATGCCCAGTAATCCATTTCATTTCTTAAGAAGTAATCATATTTCCTATGACCAGCTCCGATATATCCCATTATATGAAAGGGAGAAATTTTTTAAGGCAATCACTTCCCCATAATACTTGATATTAGGAATTTTTTTCCTTGCTTTTTCTGTCTTGTAGTTTTTCTATCACTTTTTTTTCTGCCTAAGAGACATGCAACTCAAGATAATCATCTGAGCCAGGCATGGTGGCACACACCTGTAATCCCAGCACTCAGGAGGCTGAGGCAGGAGGATCGTTTCAAGTTTGAGGCCAGCCTCAACTACATAGTGAGTTCAAGGTCAGTCTGAGCTGCATAGGGAGACCTTGTCTCAAAAACAAAACAAACAAACAAAAGATAATCATTTGAAGATAGCATGGTTTCAGATAATTTGAATTTTTATGTTTCTCCAAGTGGAATTTGGAGAAATTTTGGAATCTCTGTATACTGGATTGACATACTGAAAACATAACTCTCTTTGTTTGGGGAAAGACAGCTTTTTCCTGTAAATAGGTCTTTCTATCTATGATCCTCCAGCTAGTAATTGCCAAGTATACATAAAATCTGTAGCACATAAAATTTTTATTTTCTATATTACTGAAAAAGTTATGCTATCATTAACTTTTCATGAAAGATTTACCTTGTGATCTCAACATCTAAAGTATACCTGAGAACCAACACACACAAAACTTCTGTAAGTAGACAAAATTGATATTGGAAGACCCCAAATTTATTTCATTTTATGCATAATTCTTCAATTCCATTATCTTTTCATAATTAGCCCAAATTGCATAATTGTGCTATATAATACAGACTAGTAATTATGTTCATAGTGATAAGATTAAATCAATACATAATAAGATGTTAAATTGTTTTGTTGCTTCCATTTTTGAAGTAAAGAACTGTCCAATCTGTTCAACCAAAAGAATGTATCAGAGTGGTTACTTCAAAAAATGTTTTGGCTTCTACAGAGCAAACTTCACTTACTTAGAATGTATAGTTATGTGGAACTATTCTATCTCTGATAATTGTTGAAAAATATTGTTTCTTTGGAAACCCATGCATAAATGGAAAATGAGAAATAGTGCGTATTTTCAACAACTACTTAAAAAACCTTTTGTATCAATTACATTTTATAATGTATGTATGACTTGTGTGTAAATCACTGAGTACTTTGTTGTGGCTCTAACTCCCTGAGCTGCCAGACAACTACATAGACAATTAACTAAAATAGGCAATTTCCTTTTAGATAAACATGTTGTGGTGGTTTATCTTTTTATTTTTTTCGGTAAAATTAAAGCTAAACACGTGGTCTTAAAAAAGTAATGTGGGTTCTTTTTCCTCTACCCTCATAGTTCTTTCTTAGCTGTCCTATTCTTTGAACTACTCTTTCAGCAATATAAGTATCCCATCTTTTTCAATAATTCCTTCATCTTCAAGCATTCATTGGAATAATTCACAGAATCATAGGTTATAATAACACAAGCATAACTGAGATTGTAGTCAAAATTCTCCTTAAAAGATGAGGAGAGCTAAGGGTCACACAGCTAGTCAGATGTTGAACTAGGGGACAGGTTTTGGCCCTAAGTTCCACATTTCTCTCTACTTAGAACAGTTCCCTGCTCTATTTTTACACCCTTGCCGATATGAACATTCTTATTGTCAGGTATTTCCTAATACCTAATAGATCTTTCACCATAAATCCTATTCATACCTTATCAACTGCTGTTCAGAAAAGCTGAAATATAACTGAGTTTCCAGGAATCAAATTGAGATCGAGGGACCTGCAGAGAAGGTTGTGAACCTCTGATTATTTATTTATCTATTTATTTACTGGTTTATAACTATGTTGCGATCTCAAGTTCACTTTAAGACTTCCTATTTCAGTTGCTTTCAAAGATTCAAAATAAAAATGAAAGCAAAGCAAAAGCTAAGTTATAACGATGAGGTTTTCAAAAAATTGAAGAGAAAGAGTAAGGTAATTTACCACAAGGAAGCACCTAGCATTAAACACCTGGATGTGGTTAGACTTGTGACAAAAAAGCAAGGAGGTTGGAGGCAGAAAGGCCAAGTGAAACCCAGTCTCCAAACATTTGTTCCTCTCCCTATCTCAGCCTTTTAACTTCCCTTTTCATTTTCTTGGAGAAATAAAGGCTAGTTGATGGGAGCTTATAACTGTGCTACAATTGTGAAAAATAAGACAGTTATAGACAAAGTATTTGTCCTCAGGAAGCTTCCTTTTAATTGGGAAGACAATATTACCTAAAAGAAAGTTACTTTTCTGGAATAAACTTACTATCTACCACTCTTTTTTTAAAAGTTTATCCAAGATGAAAGCAAGGTTTAGAGGAGACGTATCTAATGGTTAGGTAGTACAGGAAGAAAAAAGACATGACACTTGCCTTTGTGGTATTTGTATTCTAATCGGAAATAAAGATGCATGATAAATGGGAAAATAACACCGTAAGATGCACAAACATGGATATGCACAAGACTAACCTCCGCCAGGGATTTGCGGGCAAGGCTTCCTGGGAACTTTGTATTTGAGCTGGCAGTGCATAAACTGCCCTTTTATAATCAGAGCAGAGATAAGGGAGTGGTATTTTGTTTTTTTGTTTTTTTAATTTTTATTTTTGCCTCTTGTTTTTTCAGACAGGGTCTCAACATGTAGTTCAGGCTGCCCTGGAAATCACTGCAGTCCTCCTGCTTCAACCTCCAAGTGCTGGGATTACAGGTGTGTATCACCACGCCCAGCAAGAGAGATATTTTAGGACTGCAAAAAATGGAGGCCAAAGGCTTTCAGTCTGGAAATCTGATGGCCAATTCAAGGAATTGATAAACAGCTAACTCATGGTTTTCTGAAAATGACATGGAACTACTGGCTGTTTCGGAATATATGTAATATCAGGTGGTGGGAATTTAAAATTTGCCTATCCACTGTGAGAAAATGTAGTGCAAAATTTGCAGGGATATTTATAAAGTCATGGAAATAGCTAAAAATGAGAATACACATCTGATGGCTGTTTCAGATGCTAATACCTTGCCCGAATGTAGGATAGCCACTCAATCTCAACAGCACCGAATTTCTTCAATTTAAGCTAAAGGATTGAAACATAAAAATAGGAAAGTTCTTTCTTCACTCTCCCCTTTAACACACAAGCACACAACTTCACTTTCCTCAAATTGTGACTGACAGTGTAAGGCCATTTATAGTCTGAAGTTTATATCCTTATTACATATTACCTTACTATTTAGTCAAAGAACTGTCACCTAATGGTAGTACCACAATTAAACATGCGTTCTCATCAGCATTCTGTGACTACAGACTTGGGAGGAGTGCACAAAGCTGATTAAGGGCAGCGAGAAGAGCAGGCTGCTAGTCCTGGTGGCATCCCTGACTTGTGATGAGACTATGAAAACATCATTGTGGGTGTTGAATATTCTTATCACCAGAACGAAGATCTGACAATCATATCTGCTGGCACAGGAATTTTTCTTTATTTAAAGAGTGGACACATGGTGAATGCTTACAAGCAGGCATTAAAAATCATCAGGAGTATTCCCCCTGTGCACAAACAAGATGTTATTCTCTCTCATAAGTGATGTTTGCAGTGCAAAAATGATTCCATGAACCAAATGCCACAACTATAATTTTCCATCTGACAAACATATTGACAATTTTTTCTGCCTGTCCCAAGCTACATTAATCTAGCCTATGACACTCAAGACACAAGAGCATTGTCATATGAAACATTTTCTGAAAAGGGATGAAAATCATGGTTGTTTTGGATTGTGGCTTATTTGCCAACTATCAGTTATTATTGTTCCTGCTGTCTTCTCCAAACATTCATATCTGATAGTAGGGAATTTTCAATACCAAAAATAATTAAAGAAGAGGATGAAAACCTCAACTACCACCTCTAGCTTTTATATGATAAAATATGTGTTTCCATGTCACTATAGGTTAGAAAGTCCTATTTTTTAAATTCTTAAGAAAGCCACTTGTACATTATTATGGTGTGTATATTCCATGACTGGGTGGTACCTAGTATGTGAGAGACTCAAATTGCAGCATTTTGAGCAATCCCTACCTCTATATTGAAAAATATTTTCAGAAACAATCATAAAATGGAAAAAACACTAAAGTAGCCAGAAAAAAAATATAGTGAATATTTTCTTGCATTGAACTTCATATATACAAATATGCAAGTTAACAAATATTTGAAAAATATTAGAATACAAAAAGAAAAATGCCCAGGTATTTATTCAGTAATTTGAATAGTATAAGCTTTGATCCTTTAGTTACAGTATGATATAGTAGTTTATAAAAATAATTGTCCACTAGCTCATGAGTGAATTTTATTAAATAACAAGTGAACCTTTATTAAAACTGAAATTCTACAAATTACAATTTAGGCAACTACTAAATTGTACC